ACGGACACAGGAAGACTCCCAGAACCGATCACCACCCCTGCAAACTTCCATAAGGTTCGCAACCCTGTGCTCCCCGTATGAAAAACGGAAAGTCCCTGCGGAGCCGGACACGAGGTCCTCCAGGCTGCCGCAACCCTCTTCCCCACATAGCGACGGCGCCGGAGATGACGGTGATGTTCGGTCGAAAAAGCATGGCAAGAAGGAACCCGAGGTCACTGCCAGGCGAGTCGAAAAAGTGTTCAGTGCACCACGCCTGGGTGCACTGCGCGAGGCCTTCTAGCAGTGCTACTTTCCGAAACATTAATACCAGGTAAGTGTGCGGCATTTGTGTACGCAGTGAAGAAACAGTGGAAACAATAGTTTAAGTAGCGGGTCCCAGGGATCCCCCAAAAACGACAAAGGTATGAGAGGTGCTGCAGTTTAGGGTTATTGCAAATTTATGACCGACCTACTTGGGCCCTTTGGCAGTCGGTCTTGACTGAATAACCAAGGAAGGTACTGTCATAATTCCCCAATCCCGAGAGTACAGAACCAAGATGAAAAAAGGGTGAGGATGGCTGCTATGGCCACCTAAGCGGGACACGGGAACAGGAAACGTGCACAGTGCATATGGCTTTGCGCCGAGTTGCGGCGCAAAGGTTTTGGGTTGGAGTTAAGGTCAGAGCTGGTGTTAGTATCAGGACTACGTTAAGGCGCAGAGTCGGGATTCGCGTTCAGGTTTAGGGTAGAGCTCGGGTTCAGTTTAGAGGAAAAATTTGGTTTACTGTTAGGTTAAAGACACGGGAATATTTACCCTTCCTGAAATGTGTCACACAGTCACCTATTTTAAGTGGGCAGAGTGGTCCTATTCCCGTGTCCTGTTTAGGCGCTATACAAGTCATCCTTACCGAAAAAATGAATCAACTAACAAAAAAGCTGTGACTGCTGCATCATTCCCCGCATTGACAGCACAAGTGCAAGCTAAAGTCCAAAGATAAGTTTCGTGAATTTTTTGCTGAACGACACAGCTTTGAGTGGTCCGGCCCATCACTGGGTCCCCGTGGGTTTCCATTTTCAATGTTGAGCTTACTAATTTACTCAGGAATTAATGCACGAACTCGGATAAACCCTCCAAAACAAGCATTCTCAGGCTCGATACGAAGATTTATTTGGATAGTTCAGTTGAAGAAAACCAACCACTGCGGATTAATCGCGTAATATTTACGAATTTTAAACAGGCTTTCAATAGTATGCAAATGCCAAATGATTCATCCTTCGGCCTTAAAAGGGGCAAGGCGCACTTATATGGCCCCGTAAACAGGGTATCTCGATTAGAACGTCCCATCTAATGAAGAAACTTGATGCCGTGCATAATTCCAGGAGGGGTATATATTACCGTGTCCTAACCCTAACACAAACACCAACATTAACCCTACCCTCAAACCTAACCCTAGTTTCCCTGAAATTAAGCGCAAAGGCGCCTATATCGTGGGCGACTCCTGGCCCCGTGACCCGTTTAAAGGGCCATTTAAATAATGCTCCCCTAAAAAAGTGCTGGGAAAATTTAAAAAAAATATAAACATAATCTCCCTGTACACTTCATCGGATCTATTGCAGTGGTTCAAGTTAATAAGTAAGACCCCTGCCACTGCTATCTTTAGGTCGTGTTCCGTGGGGAACGAGAAGATGTGGGAAGCCAGAAAGGAGGAATTGCAGATTCTGTACAGAGGTAGTCAAGAATAGATTAGAAAAAAAATGGCACCTGGGCAAGGAGGCGCTGGAATCATTTAGCGAGCCCATGTGTGAGTCAGCCTCAGGGGAGATGATTGGCCAGACCGGATTGGGGGCAGTAGACAGTGGTGCGTACGTACTCACAGTCGCGAGAGGTTGAGCGTTGCGCGCGGATTCGGGCCACTACAGATCTCAAGTGTGCAGTAGTAAATTGCACTTGCGAGATTTACACTACTGACAGCCAACAGACTTTCTTTCTCAACTCGTCCAACACTATAGCCACTTTCAACTGCAGTACAAATTAGCCTTCCAGTGAAATAATTTACGATTGAAAAGTCGTATTGGCAAAGAGCTGTGTTCGACCATTCATCATCGGACCTTTACAGTGACATGGAGAATAACATAGAGAGAAAAACGGGCAGGTATGTACAGTAGTCGCCACAGGCCATGCTATTTTCATAACTTTGTATAAGAT